AGTCCACCAGTCTTAAAGTTGCTTTGCTGGCTGAGGAATTCTGGGAGCTGAAGTCCACAAGCCTTAAAGTTGCCAAGGTTGGAAACCCCTGCTTTAAATCATACCTAGGACCTTTGCAATATCCAGGAGAGCAGCTGTGTTACTTGATGCTTCCGTCAATAAAAGCCAGATATTGCATTAGCATCTTTGAACAAGGGGACCGCGTCACTGTGTACATCGTAATAAAGACGGAGCTGCAAAGAGCTACGCTCCTTGAATGGATATTTCTCTTTGGAAAATACATTCCGTGAGCCCAGACATTTATTTTATGTCTTTCTTGCAAGGAAAAAAAAGGAAGCATTTGTCAACCAAAGGAAGATAAAAGGCAAGGATAGCCAAAATTCACCCAGTGGGGTTGTCACTATTTCAGCCCCCTTTTGCCATCTTCTTAGAGACAGGTAGAAGATCACCAAAAATCACTTTTAGGATGCAGATTTATTTTTAGGATAGAAAGATGGAAACGAGGAAGGGAAGCTAGTAATTCTGAGGCAGGGATGAAGGCAAGAAATATTTAGGATTGGTTGTTCCAGAGGGGAGATGGCTCTAAATAAATCAACTGGTTTGTCAAAGGGAGATAAGAGGATTTGTTTCGAGCTACCGCTAACACAAAAACACAATCAAAATGAGAGCTGAAACTGTGCGGAAGGTACTCGAGGGTGGCCATACAGGTAGTCCTTGACATACGTCCATCCCTTTAGTGACTATTCGAAGTTAGAATGGCACTGAAAAAGGTGACCGGTGACCGTGTTTCACACTTACGACCACTGCAGCTTACGACTTACGACTGTGGCCGTGTGATTTAAAATTCGGGCGCTTGGCAAAACCCTGTTATTAACTTAACCACTGCAGTGATTCACTTTGCAACGGTGGTCAAGAAAGGTCATAAAAGAGGGCAAAACTCACCGAACGAGCTTAGCGACCGAAATGTTGGGCTTTGTTGCGGTCATAAGTGAAGGACTACCTGTACGTTAGAGCAGTGTTTCTCAATTAGGGGAGCTTTAAGAGGGCTAGATTTGGATTTCTAGAATTCACAAGCCAGAATTCTGAGTTGCCCAATCTAAAAGGCAGTATATTAGAGGGTTGTTTTTTTTAAAAAAAATCCCAAAACAATGCAGAATTTGGGGTTCCTGTACAAATTGTTACACAAAATGAGCTCAAAGAATATCAACCATGTTGTTCCAAGGATTGGATAGCTCAATGCTTTTTGGAAGCTCAAACCAGGTGGAATTTTATCAATGTCAGGCACTTTATATATACTCTGAGTCCTATTTATAGGCCATAATTAAGTGTGCATTGTGTGTGCTTCTTAATCTTAAGATAAGATATAGGCACACGTTAATTGGCAAGTTATTATCTATAATCAGTGATTTTTCAACCTTGGAGACTTTAGCAAGTAGGGGTTGTCAAAATCAACACAACTGTGCCACATCCAAGATATCTTCTAAATGATAAAGATAGTACAAGTCAGCAGAGCTTTGGGTTGGCCAGGATTTGCAGATTCTTTATTCTAAATATATTCGCACGATATTATGTGAACAAAGATCTGTAAAACCCAGAACAGGGTTTCTGAGCCGTGGCAACTTTAAAGACGTGTGGACTTCAGCTCCCAGAATTCCCCAGTCAGCACAGAATTCTGGGAGTTGAAGTCCATCCATCTTAAAGGAATTCTGGGTGTTGAAGTCCATACTTCCGTCAATCCAGCCTAACGTTGCATTTAGCATCTTTAGCAACTTGACTGCGTCACTGTCTACATCAGGGGTGTCAAACTCAAAACCTGCAGGCCGGATCTGCTCTGCGGGGCAGCCCTAGAAACAGCAAAGGACTGGCCTGTGGGGGGTCTGTTAGAAAAATGGGGCACAGGCAGCCCCCCCCCCCTGCAACCGCTTTTGCCCTCCAGGGTGGCCCAGGAAGCCTACCAGGCCCAAAACGGAGCCTCCAGAGTGCCGCAAGGAGGCCGTCCTTGACTCAGAAGGTTATAAAAGGGAGGAAAAGTAAAATACTTTGCCTTTCAGACTTGCAGGATTCTGCTACTGTAGCCTACTGTATGCCAACAATTTTGTAGTTCAATTTCCTACGGAGTCAGATTCTTGATCTAGTCTCTCTCTCTCTCATAAGGTGATCAAGTAGATCAAGTAAGTATTGAAAAAACAAAAACACAGAAACGTATGCCTCCCTATTTTTATCTATCTATATCTATATCATCTATATCTATATCTATATCTATATCTATATCTATATCTATATCCATCCATCCATCCATCTATCTATCTATCTATCTATCTATCTATCTATCTATCTATCTATCTAAAAGGTGAAATAACACTCATGTATCATCACAAAATCTCCAGAACCGTAAAGCCTACAAACTTGAAATTTGGCACTCTTGGCTTTTAGGTACTCACTCACTAAGAAAGGATTTTTCAAAATGACTATCGGAGCATGAGTATTTCCTATATTATTATTATTATTAACACGCTCTGATGCTAAGGAGTTCTACTTCCCCTCCCCACCCAGAAAGAAATCTGTTCCAAATGCAAAACACAAGCAGAGGAGAGGAGTTTCAGTCTTACTTTCATAGCACCAGGCAGCTTTAGTACGGAACAGTTGAGCTAAGTTATGCCCAGGCTCCTTGCTGTCTCCCTCTTGCTCACACAGCAGATACTGTTTCAGTTTCCAAACAGCCCTTAACTCTCTCACACACTGATAGGACACTAGCTAGATGAATACCAATGGATGCTGGTAGGCAGAGGCACAATTTTTTTGCCCTTATTTGCCTCCCTCAAAACTAAGCCCGATCACATAGTTTCATAGTGAAGCATGGGTATCAAGATAGTAAGTTTATAAAACCATGTCTGTGGTGGTGCAGTCCTGTGTCTGCTACACCCACCATGGCCATGCCCCCACCGGGGCCTCCATGGTCAAATCCAATCCTGATGTGGCCCTCAATGAAATTGAGTTTGACACCCCCTGGTCTACATCATAAGAAAGGCTGAGCTGCAAAGAGCTACCCTTGTTGAATTGATTTCCCTTTTGGAAAAATATATATTCCGTGAGCCCAGAGATCTCTTTCGTATGTTCCTTGCAAAACCAAAAAACCAAAAACCTGAGACCACGTCAACCAAACCGTCTGGGGAATTCTGGCAGTTGAAGTCCACCCCTCTTAAAGTTGCCACGGTTGAGAAACACCGGTTTGGATCGAAGGTCGTAAAGAATACAAGGTTAATGCTAAACTTTGCGTAAAAGAGTTTGTATGGATAAACAGGCAGATTTTTTTGTTTTTTTAAAAAAGTTAGGCATGTGTGAATCTTACAGAAGCCAAATTGTCTTGAATTGGGGAGTCAGGTTTCATAAATCCTATAACCTTCAGCACAGTTTACGCCGATCTAATTTTTAGTTCCTGTGATTTTGGGAAGGAGAGGAACGGATACGGGGCGGCTGGCCCACACTTACCACCACCGAAATACGGACGCGTTTCGACTTGTGCTTTTCGGATGCCCCCGGATTCTCCTCCTTTTAATTTTTACCAAAACAAACGGGAGGGAGAGAGAACACAATTTCAGGAGGGAGCCGGCGGCGGAGCGGGGACAAGTCTGCCATGTTAGGGAGCAAGCAGCAGCCTGGGAAGTGAAGATTTGGGGGGGGGGGGTTTTGGCCCAAAGAGGGGGGGGGGGAAGGGGGGGGGATTAAAAATGGGGAGCTCACCTCCACGGACTCTGCTGTTGAGGCGTTGGCGCAAAAAAGGTTCTTCAAGGTCATCCCTGCCGTCTCGCTTGTCCCAGCTGTCCAGAAAGAGAGAGAAAGAGAGAGAGAGAGAAAGAAAGGGAAAGAGGGAGAAAGGGAAAGAGAGAGAAAGGGAAAGAGAGAGAGAGAGAGAAAGGTAAAGAGAGAGAGAGAGAGGGGGAGAGAGAGAGAAAGAGAAAGAGGGAAAGAAAAAGAGAGAAAGAGAAAGAGAGAAAGGGAAAGAGAGAGAAAGAGAGAGGGAGAGAAAGGGAAAGAGATAGAAAGAGAGAGCAAGAGAAAGAGAGAGAGAGAGAGAGAGAGAGAAAGGGAAAGAGAGAGAAAGAGAGAGTGAGAGAAAGGGAAAGAGAGAGCAAGAGAAAGGGAGAGAAAGAGAAAGGGAAAGAGAGAGAGAGAAAGGGAAAGAGAGAGAGAAAGAAAAAGAGGGAAAGAAAAAGAGAGAAAGAGAAAGAGAGAAAGGGAAAGAGAAAGAGAAAGAGAGAGGGAGAGGGAGGGAAAAGGAGAAAGAGAGACGTCATAATTATTCAGAGAATACCTGGGGACCCAAGTGCCATAGAGGTTATCCTCGACTTATGACCACAATTGAGCCCAATATTTTGGTCCCTATGTGAGACATTTCTTAAATGGGTTTTGCTCCATTTTACGACTTTCCTTGCCAGAGTTGTTCAATGAATCAGTGAAGTTGTGAAGTGAGTAACCCAGCTGTTAAGTGAATCTGGCTACCCCATTGACCTTGCTGGTCCGAAGGTTGCAAAAGTGGAGCACGTGACCCCGGGACACTGCAACCGTCATAAACCGTTCCCAGTTTCTTAGAGGTAGTCCTCAACTTAGGACCACAAACGAGCCTAAAATTTATGTTGCAAAGCGAGACGTTTGTTAAGTGAGTTTGGCCCCATTTCGCGACCTTTCTTGCCACAGTTGTTAAGTTCCTAAGCCAGTTGTTAAGTAAATCTGGCTTCCCCATTGATTTTGCTTGTCCGAAGGTCACAAAAGGGGATCACATGACCCCGAGACACTGCAACCGTCATAAATATGAACTCTTTGCCAAGCATCTGAATTTTGACCATGGGGATGTTGCAATAGTCATAGGTGTGTGAAAAACGGTCAGAAGTCACTTTCTTAAGTGCCATTGTAACTTCAAACGGTCACCAAAAGAACTGTTGTAAGTCGAGAACTACCTGTGTTGTGCAGAGGACTAGCAACTTGAAGCCCACCTTTAGAGACAAATGCACCGAGGCAGTTTTGGAAGCAGAAAGTCACCCTCTAGGAGAAAAGCTTGGGTGGGGGGGTTGGACTAGATGACCTACAAGGTCCCTTCCAACTCTGATTATCTATTAAATCTGCTATCTGTTAAATCTGTTAAAACTGTGTAGTTTGCATTGCACCAATAAAGGAGATTATTTGTAGCTCAGGGTTGACACAAGAGTTTTCTTTGGTGCTCTCTGAGCTTGGTTGTTTTCTCGCAGACATTTTCAATACCTAACTAGGTAACGATATCAGTGGTGTGGTAAGGAGAGTTTACACTGAAATGTGGAGAACTTAAGGGGACCTAGAGCGGAGTGCTACAGTGGCCCAGAGGTGGAGCTCTTACCTCACAATCAGTGAGGCTGTGAGTTCAATCCTAGGTAAGAGGCAGATATTTCTCTCTCTGGGCACGCTGAGAATATAATCTGCTGAACAAAACTCCGCACTGGAGACAGGAAGAGCATCCGGCCGTTAAAACACTAAGCTAGCTCCATTCGGTTGCCCAGATTCCACTCCGCAAGGGATTATGGGGTCGTGTAAAGAAGAAGGTGAACGGGAATAGAACAAAAGAGCTTTTTTCCCCCCCCGGTTACCTGAATGATTGTCGGATAAAGTGCTGGGGACCCGTTTCAGAGCCGGCTTCAGGGGTTTACGGGGTTCGCTCTGTGGAGGGAGGGAGGAGGAGGAGGAGGATTCCTCTGGCACGATCTGATTGGAGAAGGAGAAAGAAGAAGGAGTTAGAAAGGGACACGACTTCAGCTCGGAGGCCTAATGGTTTGTGAGAAAGACTTTGGGGGACGAGGGGAAGAGAAGCTCCCCTGGAAACAATCAGATAAGAGACAGGGGAGCCCTCCGTGGCTTAACGGTCAGAGGAAGAAACTGAGGAAGCACCTGGCCTAATAGTTCAGCTGCTTAAAAAAGGAGATGGGAGATTTGTGTTTTCAGATTTTTAGCCAAATTTGTCAGAATATTCACGAACTGGCAAGAGGCATGGTTACGAGGTCAGACAATGCATAGGCAGAGCAACTAAGTCAGCCAACGACGACTGTTTGGAAACTGAAACTGGACGGGGGCGTGGCTCTGTATTAAGCTCTGAGCTCTGAAACTGCCTTCTAGTCTGCCACTCTGAATCAAAACTGAAAACTGTTCTCTCCTCTGCTTGTTGTTTTTTCCACGTTGGAAGAATCTGCTGTTGGTATTGTAAATTTACTTCATGTGCTATTTATTTTTTTTATATATATATATATAAAACAGGTAGTCCTAGACTTATATAATGAGCCGCTTAGCGACCATTCCGAGTTATGACGTACCTCCCTGGGGTGAAGGTTAGGGTATTTATGATCCGGATTCAAAGGTTCTAATGGCCTCTGAGGTCATTTGACCACATGTCGTGCACTTGGCAACCAGGCTGCATTTAAAGCCATGGACATGTGACTATGTTTTACTTATTTATTTCATTAATTGAATTATTTTAGTGTGTTTACACAGCCGCCTAATTGTGTGCAGCAGCTCTAGGTGGTTATGGGCAGTTACGATGGTTTTGCTGAAAACTGGCATTTGCTTCTGGGTGTTGGCAAAACCAGCCCGTAGCAAAACGTTAGCTCACTGAATGAGTGCCGTGTTTGTTTAATGACCGTCGCAAAGAAAGGTCATAAAATTGGGTCAGTCATGTGGGTGACCTGATTTACAACTGTCCTTCATTATGATGGTGACGGGGAGGCTTCATCACGGTCATAATTTGAGGACTGCCTTTAAAGTAGAATTAGCTCATCTAGTGGTATTTCCTGTCGGGTGTCAGGGCTCTAACCAATTCCCCTCATTCAAAGCAAAAGCCTCTAGCCGCATCTCAGAAAAAGTAAATTGGTTTATTAGAAATGGCCATGTTGGCGTGTGGCTGGTTGCAGGCGGTACTAAATCAAATCATACATTTCCCCCTTGACCCTGATCTTTCCCCCACCCCCTGGATGTGACTTCTCCAATGGGACACATCCGTCTCCAAGAGTCATCCATCATGCTCTCCAATAACCTGCTCCGACAACTTTGGGCTGCTGAGTTGATTATCTAGGCATTTCAAGAATGCCTTGTTTTTCCCCCACTCCCTTTTTCTGGCAGTTAAAAAGACCAAAGGAGTATCTTTTTAGCTGACATCGGGGTTACCCAGGAGGCCTGATAGTTACTCTCCACCCAGCAGGTGACTGTGTGTTTCTCTTTTTTCCAATGGTTTTGTAGGAGATAACCAGGCCGAGAGTGAGGGAGGGGTCAAACGCGTCACCAGTCATGAATCCCTGCGTGCCCACAAGAGATCTAAACCCAGCCCACCATGAAGGCCTCCATTTCCCTGGACTGCTAGTAGCTCAGATTTTTGGAGTGGTGCGGTGGCCCAGAGGTGGAGCTCTCGCCACGCAATCAGGAGGCTGTGAGTTCGATCCTAGGTAAGAGGCAGATATTTCTCTCTCTGGGCACAATGCTGAACAAAACTCAGCCTTGGTGACAGGAAGGGCATCCGGCCATTAAACACTCTGCTTACTCCATTCAGTTGCCCAGACTACATCCCACAAGGGATTGTAGGGTTGTTAAAGGACGACGATGTTACTAGCTCAGACTTTTGTAGAGAGCTTAAGCTTGCAAATACTAATAATACTAATAATACTAATAATACTAATACTAATACTAATAATACTAATACTAATACTACTACTAATACTACTACTACTACTACTAATAATAATAATAATAATCTTTACACTCCTTTGAGCTGCCTGATTCTCCCAAATTTCCCTGGTGTTAGACAGGTTTTCAGTTCTTTACAAAATGAAAGGTGTTGGCAAAGTCACCGTTGGAGTAAAGAGGGGCCCCGGTCACCTGAAAGCGCACTCCTGTGTCTGGCAGGTGGTGTGGCTCTTTGTTTTCCTGGCTCTTCTCGGCGTCCCGGTGCTCCAGCCGGGTTTGCTCCTGCATGAACTGCCGGCGGCGAACGTAACTCAGCTGGTCGTGGAGGAGGGAGCCAATCTGAGTGCGGTCAACGGATCCTAGCAGGATCATGGATTCTGCAGAGGGAAGCAAATGGGACCTAAAGATTAGGAGACACATTTGCCAGCACGGTAAGCTTACTTGCCTTTCAGCTTGATATTTCCAGTTTATCGCGCTGGGCAAATCAACCATTTCTGGTTCCACAGTGCGGGAGAACTTGAAAAAAGGGATAATTCTCTATCTTTCTGAAATAATCCAGAGGGGGTTGGAGTAGAAGACATCCATGGTCCCTTCCAAATGTATTACTCTGGTGCTATGCAAATGCAATGCAAATGCAACCAGTGACTCAGTTTCCAGGTAGCTAGCTTGAGCCACGAGATAAAGTCCCAGTTCTCTTAAGTTTCTGGCGAGCTACTTCTCCCAGCAACCTCTGGTGCTATGCAAATGCAAATGCAATGCAAATGCAATGCAAATGCAACTAGTGACTCAATTCCCAGGTGACTAGCTTGATCCAATAGATGAAGTCCCAGTTCTCTTAAATTTGTGATGAGCTACTTCTCCCAGCCAAGAAATTAAAAGACCCTTGCTCCTGGGAGGAAAGCTATGGCAAATCTAGACAGCATACTAAAAAGCAGAGACATCACCCTGCCAACAAAAGTGCATCTAGTCAAGGCTATGGTTTTCCCAGTTGCAATGTATGGCTGTGAAAGTTGGACCACAAGGAAGGCTGAGCGCCAAAGAATGGAGGCCTTTAAACTCTGGTGCTGGAGAAGACTCCTGCGAGTCCCTTGGACTGCGAGGCGATCAAACCGGTCAGTCCTAGAGGAGATCAACCCTGACTGATCTTTACAAGGTCAGATCCTGAAGATGAAACTGAAATAGTTTGGCCACTTAATGAGAGAAGAACCTAATCCCTGGAGAAGAACCTAATGCTGGGAACGATTGAGGGCAATAGAAGAAGGGAAGAAGAAGAAGGGAAGAAGGCAGAGAATGAGGGGGCTGGATGGAGTCACTGAAGCAGTCGGCGTGAGCTTAAATGGACTCCAGAAGGTGGTAGAGGACAGGAAGGCCTGGAGGAACGTTGTCCATGGGGTTGCAATGGGTCAGACAAGACTTCGCAACTAACAAGAACAACTTATCCCAGCATCCTCTAGTGCTATGCAAATGCAATACAGATGCAACCAGTGACTTCTCAAGTGACTAACTTGATCCCCTGGACAAAGTCCCGGTTCTCTTACATTTATAACAGTGATGGCTAACCTATGACACGCGTGTCACTCGTGACACGCCGAGGCACTTTGACTGACACGCCTGTTGGTGTGGGGAAAACCTGCACATTTAGAGGCTGCCTGTGCTCTGCTCCAATCCCTGCTCCCTGCTTGTTGCGTGGAGGCGTGGTGTCACCGCTGCCGCAAGATCTTTGCAGCAGAGAACCAGTTTTAACCGCCATAAACTGAGGTTTGTCAGTTTCATTACCTCAGGAACGCTACAGGAGGAAAGGAGATCCATGAGGTTCACAGCCCTGTAAGGTGGCCTTCCGATCCCCACATCCTGCACCTGTAGCCCTGAGACCAGGGAGACGAGTTTCACAGCCCTGTGTGATCACCCCAGCCCAGTCCATCATAAACCAAATTATTGATATTTCTTGAAGTGACACACGACCCGAGGAAGGCTACACTTTTTCCCGATTTTCGACACACCAAGCTGAAAAGGTTAGCCATCACTGATTTATAATGAGCTATTTCTCCCAGCAACCTCTGAACCTAGGTAAATGCAATGCAAATGCAAAAATGGTGACTCTGCAAATGGTGACTATCTTTACCCTGCTTGGGGTGTGTGCGTGTGTCAGGCACAGCTGCCTTTCAAATGTTGGCACACCGCACTTGCAACCGCCGTTACAATTTGTTTCAGTGTGCAGCTCTTTCCGTAACCCCCTGCTGTGCATGACATGTAACCCTGCTTGTTCCTCCGAAAGGCCAAACGGCTGTTACAAGGATTGTGGCAAAGTTGGATGGCACGCACAATGGCGCTGCGGAGAACTGGCCAGCTTCCTGTCCTTTTGATAGCAAATCTGAAGTCACCGGGCTTAAAGCTTATCTGTTATATTCAGAGATAATAACTGATTGTACAAAAAACGAGCCAGTGCTGTAATGGCTGCCCTCACTCTTTCCTCAAGACTTGTTAAAAGCGTTCTCAATTCCTAATTTCCAAACCAATGGCATTGTCTGCCTCGGAGCATGATCCAATTTCTCAAAATCTTTTTTTTTTTTAATGAAATAGTATCAAAGACCAGACACACAATTCAAGATGGGATCTGGCCAAACCAAGGTTCTCCAAAAAATCTGATGGAGACATGTGATTTATGTTACTTTCTGTGGTAGACCTTCATTTGTGGAATCAAAATGGCATGAAGCATTAGTAGCGCTTTATAAAACCTTGAGTAAGGCCACCACTCGGAATACTTGCACCCAGTTTTGGTCACTGCCACATTACAAAAAAGATGTCAGGACTTTGTGGGGGTGGGGGAGGGAAGTGCAGAGAAGAGCAACCAAGAGGATTAAGGGCCCGGGAGGCTAAAACACATGAAAAATAGTTGGAGCATTTGGGTTTGGCTCGTTTAGAGAAAAAAAAGGACTGGGGGGTAGGACGGACATGACAGCAATATTGCAGTATCTGTGGGGCAGACACAAAGAAGAGGGAGTCAAGCTATTCTCCAAAGCATCTGAAGGCAGGACAAGAAGGAATGGATGGAAACTAATCCAGGAGAGAAGCAAGCTGGAATTAAGGAGAATTGTCCTGACAGTGAAGACAATTAACCCGTGGAACAGCTTTGCCTTCAGAAGTTATAAGTGCTTCATATCTTTCAAGAATAGAATAGAATAGAACAGAACAGAACACAATAGAACAGAACAAAATAGAATAGAATAGAATAGAATAGAATAGAATAGAATAGAATAGAATAGAATAAGGAATGGAATGGAATGGAATGGAATAGAAAATAGAATAGAATTCTATTCTATTCTATTCTGTTCTATTCTATTCCATTCCATTCCATTCCCTATTCTATTCTATTCTATTCCATTCCATTCCATTCCATTCCCTATTCTATTCCATTCCATTCCATTCCCTATTCTATTCTATTCTATTCTATTCTATTCTATTCTATTCTATTATTCTATTCTATTCTATTCTATTCTATTCTATTCTATTCTATTCCATTCCATTCCATTCCCTATTCTATTCCATTCCATTCCCTATTCTATTCTATTCTATTCTATTCTATTCCATTCCATTCCATTCCATTCCATTCCCTATTCTATTCTATTCTATTCGATTCCATTCCATTCCATTCCCTATTCTATTCCATTCCATTCCATTCCCTATTCTATTCCATTCCATTCCGTATTCTATTCTATTCTATTCCATTCCATTCCCTATTCTATTCCATTCCGTATTCTATTCTATTCCATTCCATTCCATTCCATTCCATTCCATTCCCTATTCTATTCTATTCTATTCTATTCTATTCTATTATTCTATTCTATTCTATTCTATTCTATTCTATTCTATTCTATTCCATTCCATTCCATTCCATTCCATTCCATTCCATTCCATTCCCTATTCTATTCCTATTCCTATTCTGTTCTGTTCTGTTTTGTTCTGTTCCGTTCCGTTCCGTTCCGTTCCATTCCATTCCATTCCTATTCTTTGAAATGATGAATCATTGTCCTTTTTCTCCAGTTGAAGAATGCCTGTGTGCTGCTGAAGCTCTTTGAATGTTTCATCAAAGATTGTATTTGTTGCAAATGTATCTCAGGGTGTTTCCAGGCAGGAGAACACACACGCCACAAGCACTGCAGATCACAAGTGCAGACTTTTGACTGTTTATCTCCACTTCTTAGATACCACCAGCAAAATCAGCATTTATTTCTCTTTGATCTTTCTTTTTTTTTAGACTTCTGCAGTAGTCAAGATCAAAGTGTTCACTCAGGTGGAAAACTGATTAGGACTCTCCAGCAAGATCCCTTTACCTCTCCCACTGGCTTGCTCAGGGAGATCTGGGGAGAATCTTAAAAAACAAACAAACTCTAGAAGTTATTAAAAAACATCTGCTCCGTAGAGTTGTTCAATAGAGATTGCAGCTTCCTAAAGTAAGTGGGAAAATAAATTTACGGAGGCAACACATGAAATTCCCTACATTTTATAGTCCTGCAGCCCTGGGAACTAAAAACAAGAGTCTTGACCATGCATAAAGAAGATGGACATTTTTAACCAAGGACGGAAGGAAGGAAGGAGGGAGAAAGGAAAGGAGAAAGGGGGGAGGGGGAGGAGAAAGAAGAAAAAAGAAAGGAGAAAAATGAGGAAGGGAGGGAGGGAGGGTGGGAGGGTTAGGAAGGAAGGGGAAAATGAGATTAATGAAGAAGGAAGGAAGGGAGAAAAGAAGGGAGGAGGAAGAGAAAGAAGGAGGGAGGGAAGAAAGGATGAAGGGGGGAAGAAAGGAAGGAGGGAGGGAGGAAGAGAAGGAAATGGATAATGAGGAAATAAGGGAAGGAGGGAGGTGGGGGAGAAAGGCGAGGGAGGGAGTGGAAGGAAGGAAAAAAGGAGATAAATGAAGAAGGAAGAAAGGGAGGGAGAAAAGAAGGAGGGAGGGAGGAACAAAAGGAAATAGATAAATGAGGAAATAAGGAAGCGAGGGAGGAAGGGAGGGAGAAAGGGGAGGGGGAGAGAGAGGAAGGAAAGTAGGAAGGAAGGAAGAAAAAAGAAAGGAGATAAATGAGGAAGGGAGGGAGGGTGGGAGGCAGGGGAAGGAAGGAAGGAAGGAGATAAATGAAGGAGAAAGGAAGGGAGGAGAGAGAAGGGAGGAGGGAGGAAGGATGAGAAGGAAATAGATAAATGAGGAAAGAAGGAAGGAAGGAAAGAAAGGGGGAGGGAGATAAATAAGGAAGGAAAGGAAATAAATGAGGAAGGGAGGGAGGGAGGAGGGAGGAAGAGAAGAGATAAATGAGGAAAAAAGGAAGGAAGGAGAGAAAGAAAGAAAGGAGAGGGAGAGAGGGAAGAGGAAAGGAAGGAAGAGGGA